ATCGCTGGTCACAACAACTACAACGACAGCAGCTGCTACGGCAGCAAGTGGTAGCAGTCATAACAACAATCAGCAAACAGCACACCAACAACAATCAAATGAAAAGCTGCAGCCATTAAAATTTCAACAGCATCATTTTGCAAGTAATAATGGTAAATAGTTAGATTGCTGTTGACCAGCTAGAAATTTAGTAAGAAATCTTTTACAACCGTAAATTGTTACCCCAGCGGGCATTACACATGCATATGTATTGTCTGGATGACAGGTAACGACCAACGCCTTCGGAAATTTAGTTGGCAATGTTAAGAAGATGTGATTTTTCGAAACGTTTTGTGCTAACTGCGCTAAATTCATTACAATTTATGGATATGTTTGTGTGTGCTATTTAGTATTAGTTAAGAGCGAATATTATTATGTTAAAAGTTTGCGTAATACAATTTCTGTGAAATATGACAAAGTTCTTTGCAAAGATATTATTTGTATTAATTAAGTTTTATGTATTTTGATTTTTAACCTTTAAATTTTTGCTTTTATTTTTTCATTAAGTATGCCTTTATATCTAACTATGTACAATTGCATACAAACTAATATAACACATTTTTTATACAACTACTAACCAGTATTAGTTAAGAATCTTTTGATTTTCGATTGGAAAATGCTTTAAAAAATACACGAACAAAACAATGACATTCCAAAGATATTTATATGTAGTATATCAATGTTTGCAAAATTTAATAAAAAGAATGTTAATATAACGCAATGTAAAAGGTTATATGTATCTAGTAAAATTAAATCGGTATAAATTTTGCAAATACAACAAGTAGTAATCCACAAATTATAACAAAATCTAGCAAAAGGACATTTACATAGGTATATGAAATAGTGTTATTAATAGTTATATATGTATGTATGTAAGTGACTATATAAAAAATTGCATGAATAAAATGTGATTTCAGGAAATGTATTTTACACTCAAATAAACACACAACTACAAACATTAAGGCAGTTTTTGAGATATTTATATATGTGTATGTATGAAAGCCAGTTATTGAATGTAGCCACCTTCTCAAAAGAAATCATTTAGGAAAACAGAATAAATACACATACATACATCACTAAAATGTAACAATTAAGTATGTACTTATGTAGTTGCAAGAAACAACATAAATGTTCAATAAGCTCATTTCGTTTCTTATTGTTATTTTTGCAATATGCCACAAACACACCTACATAAAACAATAAATGAGATAAATTTGTGTGTGTATCTACATATGGCTGTTTTTATTTTTATTTTTATCAAAATACATACTGTATAGTATATAGGTATCTGTACACATCTACATGTTCAAAAGCCAACAATAAATAATACGTATGTATAAATGGTGCATATATGTATGAATATGTGTAAAACATGCAACCCACAATGTCACATTCTATGTAAATAGGGAATAAAAGTATAAAATTTATGTAAACTTTTACCAAAAGATCAACTGTGTTTAATTAACAAATTATTTCGCAGCACTTTAGGGTCGAACAAAATTTACATATGTATATAACACTAATTATAAAAGTTTATTAACATGTATGTATTTGGTATTTTCGTACAAAAAAAAAAACAATTGGCATACAAATGCGGCATATCGATTTAACTGCCCTCCATACTTTGTTGTAATGCTCCTTTCTGCAGCTCGCTCTCTGTCTTGCTTTCTCATTTATCGGAATCCACGCCTGCGTCGACGAAATCGTTGAGCAGCCGCATGGCATTTCGTGGCAACAGACGTCCGATTTTGTCTATATATAAATATTCACGTGGAATACTCGCATGCTCGAGGCTGGTACGTTGTGCTTTAATGATGCTAGCTGCCGCATCTGTGGGCTTAACAAGCTTGAATAGCGCAGGGAAGCGGTAATGCGGGCGCTTGCAGAGACCTGTATCTACCATGTAAGGGTAAATGGTGGTCAGTTTGATCTGTAATTAAGAGAAAAAGAAGGAAGGGTGTTTAATATTTTTGGGTTTTAAAATACTCTGTTGATATTTCGTGCAGGGATGTGGACCGGATGAAAAATTTGATCGGCACAGTTCAGCGGTTCGAACCGTTTTTATTGTCTTTGAATGAAAAAAAACTCTCCAACCAAATTCTGAAGCAGGACATTCTTGAAGAGTTCTCTGAGATAGAGCGGTTTCGAACTGGCTGCCGAGATAGGTCGATCATCCACTCAGGTGTTGATTTGTGTTATTTAACCATTTTTCAATACTAAAGATTTTTTATTGGGAGGGGGCATTGCTTTTTCTGGTGTTTTTGACGATTTTTGGCGGACCTATAAAATATAGTTACTATAAAATAGTATAAAATACATGGACTACTTAGAGCGCTTTTAGCGACCCCTAAAAATTGTTTGATTTCGAAATACAATATAAGTATATTTTTTCGATATAGAATAATCCTTGGAGTGAGAGCACACAATTTCCAACTTTACTTTTTCCGCATACATTTTTAGACCACCCTAATGTAAATATATAATTTGTGTTTTAAAAATGGGTCGAACTGAATACTAAAAAGTGGTTCGGATCAAACATTTGTGGAAAATTTCGGCTTGGTTAAAGGTTCAGATAATAGCGGTTAATGCGTACAAAATGTGTGAGTGAAAGCCCCCAGAAGTAAGCGTTACTTCAGAGTTGATCGCTTCATAAGTAAGCTTTTTAAGCTTTCTGTACATGAATCAGCGTTGCCATTTTGCTTAAATTTAAGCGAAATTTGCTTATATTTAAGCAAAATTGATTAATTTTTTCCTGCCTGATAAAATATTAAACTTTTCTTCGTTTTGCTAAATTTCTTAATTACAATATTCAAAAAGGTTAAGCTTCCTCAAAAATTCACTTCTGGCTATGAATCAATTTTCAATAAATTTTTGAATTTTATTTTAGACTATAAAATCCTTTTTTTTGAGCCTTAGCTTGTCTTAACTTACTTGCTTATTTTTTATTTCTATAACCAATTTACCAAACATGGTAAGAAAAGCCCAAATTAATTAAATAAGTTGCTTAATTTTTCCGAGATTTGGTATTTTTTTTTAACGATTTTGGTAAATTTTATTTTTTGGTCGCGGCAACACTGTACATGATGTATGAATTTTGGAACGCACATCGTTTTGAGAACGAAGGCGTGCAGTGAAGATTTTGAAACGCAAAAACCGCTTTGTTTTTAAACCAAATTTGACAAGGGATGACGAAAATTCTTTCCAAAATATATCAACTTCTCTTCCTGTCAGAAGATCAAATCTACAGAAATTTTCAATACATTTTATATGATCAGGCATCAGAGTGAATACCCTTTCTAAGTAGCTTTACTTACATTATTTTGTGGGTTCTTGTGACGCAGTTCTTCGCTTAGCGCCTGAAAGTATGCAAATTATATTACATATTATTAAATTTATCTTTTAATAAGAAAACCCATCTGTTCGACTTACTTCCATAAGACCGCGCACCGCAAATTTTGTGCCGCAGTATGGCACCAAATTGGGCAAGCCAAAGAAACCGGCACACGATGACAAAGCGACAATGTGTCCCTCGTTGCGCGCTATCATATCGGGCAGGAATGCTTGGATGATCTGTAAGAAAAATAATTATGATTGATAAAACTTTAGCGAATTGCAATTAATATCAATTGAAAAACGGAAAGGAAATGCACGAAGCTTTATACGGATATCTTAAGAAACGGTCAAGAAAAAATTGTCATTATTTCGTGTGTGTGAATAACAGCCCTATTCCCATAACAATGACAAAATTCTTCGTATAGCTATTGTCACAATTAATGCGCCAAAAATACAATATAAACATTGTTTCGCCGTTGTCGCGTACTCAGTAGGTCATAACAATAACAATGACAATTGTCACCAGTATAGAGTTTAAAATAAATTTGCGGCATAGTATTAGGCGCAGTTGTAAAGACAACAGTCAGCCGCTGGCGTGGGAATAGGGCCGTAATAGTGTTCCTGGATTTTTGACAACTTTTTTTTCACAGCCTGCTGCTTCACTCTTTCTTAACGAAATAATGGAACGGACATATGGTAGGAACTGAGTACTGGTGGGTAAGTACTAGAACGGGGTACTTAAGGTCAATGAACTCTAATAAAAAAAAATATATATCTCCTCAAGAAAATAACATTGATATGTCATACTTTAAGATCCGAAAATAATCGCTGATGATATAACGAAAAATGTAAAAAAGCGACCCCTACGTTCGGCAATTTTTTTTTTGTAATTTTGTCGGCAAAAATAATATAGACTCAGGGGTCTAAGATGATGTTACTATTATTTTACTTAGATTCTCACCCAGAAGTGTGCTAATACATTGATCTCATACATAGTTCTAATCTCAGTCTCAGTGTGTTCCAGCAGTGGATGGCATGGCATAATACCAGCATTATTGACAATAACATTGATGAAGCCATGCTCTTTCTTATTCTTCTCGGCCAATGCATTAATCTCCTCACGTTTTGTAACATTGCAGCTATGAAAGTGGTAACCATATAATAATTATTTATGTATATTAAATATAATTTAGAAGGTTTTTTCTTCTTCTTATTTACTTACGTGTACGGCGTAGGCTTCACCACCGTAAGCCTTGATTTCCTTCACTGTCTGCTGATTGGCTTCCTCATTCACATCCCAGCAAATTAGTTTGGCGCCAAGTGCACTGTATTGCAGGGCGAGCTCCTTGCCAATGCCGTGACCGGTGCCAGTAATAAGCACTGTTTTACCTTTGACATCGATTTCTTGTGGCATAAACACTTTGACAATTGACTCTACAATCGCAATCCAGAATTTGACCACTAATACTAATATATCAGCAACTAATGTGATAATGTTGTAGATGTCAACGTTGCCATTTTTGCTGGGGCCATTGACTCTTAAAAAAAAAAAGAAGTGAATTGAAAGCAAATGAATAAGTACCTATACAAGTAAATTAGTAATTAAAATTGTGTATAATAAAAAAATATTCTTATTATTTGCATTTGCATAAATGCACAGAAAAATTTATCAGATTAGTTAATACACCGTTATTGTTTTCAAATAACAGTCAACCACTTTGCAATTTATTGTCGTTCAGTTGCGATTTAATTAGCTATTCAATAAACGTGTTTTGATGCCAATGCAGTGCGACAAAGCACAAATGCACTATATACATATGTACATACATACATACTTACAATTGTATGAGATGAATAAATATGTCTGTACAAATCTACTGTTGATAGGTTGGAAATTGAAATTGCTATCAAATCTATGAATTGCTATTTTGCACAACAAATACTACTACTGATTTGCAATCTTGCAATTGCATTACTGCAGCTATGAAATTTTACAACTGGCAAATAAAATTTAATGACGCTAAAGCATTTATTTTGTAGATAATGTTTTAAAATATGGCATTAAAATAGCCGTAAACATGTTTTTAATTTTTTTGATCTCGAAGCATTTAAAAACACATAAAATTATTAATTTGTACAAAGCAATGACTTTGCAATATATTAATGTCATCATTGCAAGAAAAATGAAATGACAATTTCATACTTAAAAGGAAAGGTAAAATTTTTTAAATTAACTTAGATAATGCTGGCAGGTTTGTTCGGAAGAAACAACTTTGAATTTTGGTGTGGTAGTGCGTGTGCCTCTATATCCATATATATGCCTTGGTTGGGATTGAAAAATGTTACTAGGGCACCATCGGAAATCATCGATGTATCGATGTTTTCTACCGATTGATTTCTCCGATATATCGAAACATCGATGTATCTATGTTACTCCTTAAAATTTGCATCACTATGTAGTTCAATCGCGGCCCTAGAGTAGCTCCTGGGCTAAGCTCCACTCCAAATTTTGGCCTAAGCAGCAGTAGCCTTATGGAATTTGGAATTGCTAACTTCTCATAGTACTGTTCATAAGAAGACACAAGACAAAAGTATTTTAAGCAGAATNTGGATCGCAGACGTGTACACTGATACACAGACCGATCACAGATGGGGTCAGGGTAGGTGAGACTGACTTTGGACCTGACATCAAACTTTATACATACTGCAATAGGTATTTGTTTCACCACCTTACAGGCCGAGGTACTAGCAATTTCAATTTGTGCCACATGAAACCTTAAAAAGGGTTTAAAGGCGCATTTCTTGCTATCTTTTCAGAAGCCAAGCGGCCATAAGGTCCCTATGCAATAGGACTTTCACTAGGCTCGTCAAGTAATGCTTTGAGGCACTCCAACTTTTGGCAGCAAGGAATACGGTAATACTATGCAGGGCACCAGGACACAGTGGGATGAAAGGTTACGAGGTCGCCGACAGATCGCTAGGTAAGGCTTATCATTTGTACTTGTTGGTCCTCCTAAACGAAGCGTGGATAAAATCAGAACGAAATAAGTTCTGGGGAGAGGTAGGGCTAGACTGCTCGGTTATACTTTTGCTAGGAAATATATATATATAGCTTTTGAACAGAG